GAACCGACGAATTGTGGACTGAATTTCTGTACATCCAGTGTGGTCCGCCCCGAGTCCCCGGACGGGTTAATCTCCTACAAAGTTTACAAGACATCCGTTTTCCATGTTTTAAGACCAGAGTTAACTGCGAAACCGAATGCCCCGCGCCCACACAAACCCAATTTCAAACCGACACAACACCAAAAGAGAGCAGAAGTTAAACAAACACACGTACCTCGGTACCACTTCCGCGACCTGCGACCCGCAAGATTACATGAACTGTGCAGAAAAGTTAAACTTTCTTCGGGGGGGGGCATTAAAACTCAACTTTACAAAAATAAACCCAAGATCTCACGATCAGCGAAGTAAATTACTTTTGAGATCTGACGTTCAAACGCTGATGATGTAGACCAGGGGTCGGCAAACTACGGCCCGCGAGCTAAGAACGGATTTTACCTATTTAATTCTTTGAAATTTCACGAATATATTTTCTGAACTCAAAATACAGTTCCAGCAGCGTTTCTCGGATCTTGATGAAAGTGCAGAAGACATTTCCATATTTCAAAAAACCATTTGACTGTACAACTGAGAACATTCCACCTAACCTTCAATTGGAAGTGATTAATCTGCAGTGTGATGACATGCTAAAAAGGAAATTTCAAGAGAAGAATCTAACAGAATTCTATAAATGTCTTCCAAGCGATGAATATGGTCAATTAGGATCATATACTCGGGGATTTATATCTGTATTTGGCAGCGCCTACCTGTGTAAAAAGACATTTTCAAAGATGAAATATGTAAAATCTCAATACAGGTCAGCATTAACGAATAAACATTTACAATAAATTTTGATGATTGGGAGTACTGAATTTAAACCTCAGTTTGGCGAAATGTTATCTCATAACAGGCAATTCCATTCTTCTCATTAGCAGAGCTGTATTTCAAATTGTAGTCTAATTATTATTACGTTACATTTTGTTCAATAAACATTTACAATAAATTTTGATGATTGGGAGTACTGAATTTAAACCTCAGTTTGGCGAAATGTTATCTCATAACAGGCAATTCCATTCTTCTCATTAGCAGAGCTGTATTTCAAATTGTAGTCTAATTATTATTACGTTACATTTTGTTCAATAAATTTGTTAAAACTTGTTTTTTTCTCGTTACATAAGTAGGCTTACCTATAAATATCCTCGGGTTTGCCTCCTGGCCCTTTAGAAAAAAATGTTTGCCGACCCCTGATGTAGACGTTGGTCTGTGCGCGCATGCGCGTAACATTCGTTCATCACAGTTCGACGAAATTATTTCCATCACTCACGTCGGAGAACCGTATAAAAGAACCGAGCTTTGGAAACGTCCGATTTTACCACTCACAGTAAAGATGATTTTATAACAAACATAATATCACAAAATTCTCTCTACATAAAACGGTAGTGGGGGGGTGGGCAGTATTTATAGGGGAAAAAAAATCCCTGACGAAGTCAGGCCGACATAATGCCTCCAACACTGTATTATATTTTTCCCCATTCGTTGATACGTTAATCCGGGACGGTAGACAGCTCGTCCGCGCTCACTCGTAGGGAACAC